TTCAGAGGTTTTTTCAACAATAATTTTCATTTACTGAGAAGATAACCAAAAACAAAAAAAAAGGCAAAAAATAATTAGGATTGAAAAGATAAAATCCTCAACTAAATAATGCTCCATTCCACCAGGCACTACACAAAATGCATCAGCTGCAAACTGTGATTTTTCTGGGGTAAACACTTAAATATTGACCTTGGCTCTTGCATTCAAGAAGTACCACAGTGCTTCTCTGCACCTCCCTATATGACTACTAAAGTGAACTTTAAAGAATAGAAAAAAAAGAACAATCTTTTCTATATAAGAAGAAAGCTGAGAGCGGAATTGGATGATAGGCAAAAGCAATTAGTAAGGAAAACTTTATGTTAATTAAGCAGCAGGGCTTGTTAGGTCATCTTAATTATGCATGCGAAATTCTGACTTGAGGCACAGAAAGCTGTGAAGATTAATAGTTGAGGAGTAAAAGAATTCTGAACTCATAACACTTTATTTATGCTCTATTTTGCTTGGCATGAATCATGGTTGTCATATATAAATGTGGAACTGTATTTATGCCCAGGGTTTGGTGGGTTTTTTCTTCTTTCTGTGTAATTCTTGTATAGACTCAGGAAGTGAAGTATACTAAAGTTTCTTTAAAATATTATGTTGCTCATCTGTTTTCCAGAATATTTTTCAGCTTCTACAGTACAGATGCCAATATTGTTAGAACTTAATAAAAATATTGTCATAACAATTAAGTATCATTTTCCATTCTGGAGGAAAGTTCAAAATTGATTTTTTACTGCAGGCTTAAATAAGGACGAACCCCTGAAAATCTAAATCTTTTAAGGAAAAAAAACAGCTGAAGTAACACTAATTAAATATTTTTATTTCATTATGGTATATTTGGGGGTTTTATTCACTTATAAATTCATTTTTTTCAGAAGAATCATAATCTGGTTGAAAAATAATCTGGTTTTATTAATGCCAAGTCATTCCATTTAAACGGTTGCTAAGTACCAATCACTTTCAAATTTCAGAATTCAGTATAAAGTTGGTGGAAAATAACAATAATGAGTATATAATTTATCAGAGAATTGTTGGAACAGCTTCAATCTAGTTAGAAGTTACTTAATACTGGGATAACGCAAGGTTCAAATGCTAACAACCCACCCTGTCCAGAGTCTAACTTTCTAAAAGCTTTTTTTTTTTTGAACTGCTAACAAGAAAGAATAGGTGGTGAGAAACAGGGAAATGAGTGAATGAATTGATGTCTGCCCATTTCAATTTTGCAGAGTAGGCATTCTGGATTTCACTTGGAAATATGTAAGTCAAATTTTAAAAAAACTGGCTTACATGCATTGCTGAACCAAGCCAGGAAGTGCAAGATCAAGTGAGAACTAATTTAAAAGTTTTCCTAGTCTGAAAAAAACCCCATATTTGGATTTAAAATGGACAAAAATGCATTTTTTGTTTCCTTTGGCTTTTTCCACTCAAGTAACAAGAAGAAACAAGAAGACAATGATAAATAGATACTGAAATGTTAGATAGAGTTAATTTCACTAGAAAGAAAGACAAGGTATTGCAGTTTGACCTTTGATTCTTCATTTCTTCTGCAATTTTCTACAGGTATGGTTTATTACCTCTGGCAAAATTGTTACTGTATAAATTCCTGTAATTTTATTATAAGAAATAATAGCCATGGCATGTACCAGTTTCATTTGATGTTTACTTTTATGGGCACAATATTTTCTTTATTCCTGGTTAGTAAGAGTATGATGGTAAAAAAATATGGTCAAAGTAAATACGAGACTGCTGAGAATACTTAAAATAAAAAGGAGATTACAAATTTAAAAAATAAATGCAACTATTTAAGTAGCTTAATAAGCTATGCCACGCGTGCACATGCATACGTGCACAAGTGTGTGAAAGATAAAAAGATACAAATACACTTGAATAGCAACACATTTTGATTCTTATTTCTACATTATTCGGAGAAGTATAATTTTGATTATCCTCAGACATTAAGAAATATGGAAGAGCCATCAAATGCACAAATTAGGTCTATAAGTATGTGAATGATGATAGAAAAATGTCTTTAATCAGAGTAGACCCATGAGTCTTCCACAGGACTTCTATGTATCATATTAAAAGTACATTCACATTTTTCTTTAATATAAATTAGTTTAGCCCTTAAAAGAAATAATTTTTATAAACATTTACACAAGCACTTTTATGTCAAGAAGACTGTGCAAAGTGTGAATAGTCTGAAACAATAGGGCAAGCAATTTTCAACATTTCCACAGATTTTGTGTAGCCATGGAAAAACAAAGCCAATTGTACTGTAGTTACTCTCCTAAATCATAAAATGCATTTATTTTCTTTGATGTACCAATAAGTAAACATTTATTACCATAATTTTTCAATATGGTGGCATTGATTGAATAGTTTAATTTTAGTTTTTCAAAGTCAGTGCAAAGAAATTCTTAAGAAATCCTGAGACTGAAATGTGACTGAAAAATTGATTTTGATCACTTTTCCCCTCAGGTGTGCTAAACCATCACCTTTTTCAGAGCTATGCTGAAAAACAGCTTAGAAACAAAGGAAAAACTATCATAATTGAACTCAATAGGATTCAGGAAATTTTATACCAATTTTTGTTCCATTAGGATGCTAAAAGGTAAAATAATTAGGAGGAAAATTATATACTAGTTAGGCAATTATACAAGCCTAGAGAAAAGACTTTGAAACAACAATTAATTCTGGGAACTCAATGAATCATAAATAAGAAAAAGTAATGTCAGAATTACTTTGATAGTTCTAACTGTCATAAGGGCAAAGTCAACATGACGAAAAAATCTGGGGTAGAAGCACCTTACAGAAACACCAGTGGAGCTTAAAAACTTTGCAATCCATAACTGCCTGCTTTTACACCACCAGAAAAGAGCTAGTCTGCACTGAAGTGTCTAAATGCTTTATAAAAACTTAAGATTTTCATTTGGAACAAGTTTAGGTGTTTTAAACCTGATTAAATGGCATTTAGCTGTGTGGTTCAAGATGAATGTATTCTCATTAAGCAGTCTTCTTGCTAATTTTTTCTGATTAAGCTGTTGCCATTATCAACCAGTGAAAATAAAACATTTCCAGTCCAGTCCAGCCCAGATCAGTTAGAGTACTCCATAGCACCAATATCTGTGAAGAATCTTTGATTTCCAAGTCCATTTTTGACTTTAAATACACAGGAACAGTGACAGGAAAGTCAAATTTTATACACTAAAATGATTTTACAACTTCCCTGATAATAAGTCGATAAAATGTTTTATTCTGGGCACAGGAAGAACGTTGTGCAATGACATCATGATTTGACTTTCCTTCACACCGTCCAAATGGACTCACTGGTTGATTTTTTGTATCTAAGGACCAGATCAAAAAACCTCTGTAAACTCATAAAGTTTGGCAAGATTATTAGACCTTTAAATTTTAAGATTTAAGATTATTTACCTTGGTATAAGATTATTAGACCTCTAAATTATAAGATATAAGATTATTTACCTTGGTAAATATACAAAGGTCTGAGATCAGTTACATCTTTGATAAGTGTATAAAATATACAACTACAATGAATGAGAAGAAATGATGCAAATTTTAAATTCAAAAAGGTTAAAAAAAAAAAGAATTGAGCATATTAATGCAAACAAGAAAGCGTGAAAGAATGACTTACAGAAATACGTAGCAGCTGTATATAAACCAGATGTGGGCATGACACAATTTTCAGATTTTGGGGATTAATTTGCTTTTTTGAAATTATTTAGAGAAATGAACAAAATCATTTTAAACTACCCTGTGATGCAATCTGTAAAGTGCAGTACAAGGAAATTAGTAAACAAATTAAATTTAAAATGTTTCAAATTATCATGTTCAAAACATTATATACAGTAAGTACTTTAAAAAAGTATTTTTCCCTAAAAAGGGTGATTTTCTAGAAAAAATTTAAACTAACCTATTAAAATATTGATTGCAATTTAGTACATAATGTCTATAAGATCATTAAATCTTATCAGCAGAAAAAAAAATGTTGATTAGATATCTTATGTGGAATAATTAACACAATCTAGGCATCTGATATATTACTATTACTAAGATATCTGTCTTCAAGAAATAGAATTTTCTATTTTTCAAATTGAAAAGCCTAAAAAAAAACACCAAACAAAAAACCACCTAACAACAAAAAAAAAAAATTACCAAAAAATAAAAAACAAAGTCAAACTAAACCCAACTACATAAATTGCTAAGGGGCCAAAGTGGAAAATCTTTCTACAAATTTGAAGACTAAAGCTGACCGAATGTAGAATATCTTTAAAATCATTTCATTCCTGACATTATAATTCCAGACTGGATTCCAACTAATGAGCAGAAACTCACCAAAACCTAGCAATGAAAATTTGTTTGTAGGAATGTAGTTGAGATTTTTATTAACTGAAGGGAGGCCAAAGACCAGTGGCAAAATGGAAGGAAAAAAATGAAAACAAAAAACCAGATTAATTATCAGATGACTCTGAAAGAACAGAAAGTACAAAAGACAGCAATGAGGTCCTGTTCGTAATACTAATAAAGTATTTTAAAACCAGATTTATGTAAATATTAGAAAGTACACATTATAATGAATGAATCTTAAATGAATAAGACACAAAATGTAGAGAAAGAGACAATTTTCATTAGCTTCATATTGGTCCCATCAAAAAATTTCACCAGCAAATTAGGGAAATTAGTTGAATCTGATATCTAGAATATGGCATTATAATTTGAAAAAAAATACAGTATATGTAATTTTGAAAAAAAAAAATGTTAATATAATCATGTATTCCATCTGCAAAATATTAACAGAAACATGACAGTTACTCTCTGACTCATGTTTACAATAATATTTGGTTACATACCTCCAAACACTTTTAAAAACAAAAAGTTATATTATTATTAGCTTCACAAACTTATAAAAAAAAAAAGGAACCAAATACTGGTATTCATACCGTCATAAATCCGTCCAGCAAACCTGAGTCGGGCTTCGGTGGTGCTTGCAAGCGCTCCATAGACCACTTCTCAATGATAGAGGACACCTGGGTGTTCTCTGTGTTTAGAATCCTGAATCCAGTCATGTTGACACCACTGTACCGATAGGGCTCCACATCCAGGGCAAAAAGGTCCTGAAAAAGTCACCATTGTATAAATTCTATAATACACTGCGATTGTTATTTCGAGTGTTGGACCATCTCCCCAGATGAGAGCATGGTAATTGTTCTATTTACAATAGATACAATAAATAGCACATGAATTGTGCTATTTATGCCAGGAAAAGTGTTCTGCCTGTCTGGGGGCCTGTGTCTGTGGGCAAGCAACGTGGCTGCCCTTATGGTGGGAGCAATCTGTTCTCAGAAGAAGAAGACCAGACTTTCAGGAAATGTTAGTCCAATTACAGAACTGTATCTACTAAAATACTACAGTAATTAATATCTAGAAATTTTCAATTTCTATATATTAATAGTAATAATATTAATATTTCTGGTAAGTTCTTGAACTTACCAGAACTTAAACAAACATGAAATAATGAAATAAACTGGACAAGAGTTTCCTTGAGCTTTCACTCTCAGTGAAACTTAAACATGCTAATCTTAGGAGGTAAAATTGGTGGAGGAGAGTAGGCAGGGAGTGGGGGTGGTGGTGAGCAGGGAAAAGGAGAAATGTACATGGCTTTAAATTTAATCAAAACCAGTTTTTCACTGCCATCAACATACTTCCAAATATGGACATTTCTTTGGTTGGGAATTCATCTTTGCAAGAATAACTTTTGCCAGTTTATATGTTTTCAATATATCGGCATGTATATCTGCACAGTTAGCCCTCAAATATACACAGGGGAAATATAATCAATAAAAAGTAAAACAATTCAAATTTTAGCTCAAGAAAGTAAATTCAAGGTTATCCTGGTGCTTTTATCAAATCCTCAGAAGCAATGTAGAGACAATACTAGACTTCAGGAAAGTCAGGTCTAAGATCAAGTTTTGACCAGGGGGAAAAAAAAGGTGAAATCAAGGTTATGTATAACCTAATCTTTCCCTATTACATAATTTTAATTTATTCAAAACAGAAATTTTTCCCATAATTCATAGGTATTCATTAATCTAATTTTTAATTTAATTTTTGTCAGTTGGCTTTAGGTGTAACACTTGCCTGAACCATTTTGTTTACTGGCTAGAGCTGAAGAAGATCAAATATTGTGCTACAGAAAATCCGAATACAACATCCATTGCTAACATCACAAAGCCCATAAAAATATCAACTAGCTATCAATCACGACCCATTTTTAATTCCCTTGCTAGTATTATAATTTACTTTCCCATTCACAATGTCCAAGATATGCAGGTTTCAAAATTCATTTAAAATCACTTCACATCCTCTTTTCAAAGAAATAAAACATTTTATTGCAAAGGAAATGATGGACATAACAAGAACTAAGCTACATCTTTCTCTTTAAAAAATTCTCTCAGTTTTTACTATGCAAGAAGTCGGAACCTTGAATGCAATTTTTTAATCCAAACACATTTATGTTTATACTGGAACGTAATAAATATACACAATATTATGCATTTATTACAAATGCACTCAGGTCAGTGTATTAATGAGCCAGTGCATTACATCCTGAATCAATCAAGAGGAGATTACACAGAAGACTGTTGTAAACACTGTGACTGGAAAATTTATTTGACAGGACTTTCACCATGTCAGGTAAGAAGCAATTAATGTATAAAAACAACTAAATTCTGATGCTGTTCCTGAGCTACATTGCAAAATCAAAATCTCTGATATGTTTGTGCACAGTAAATTATCTCTTGATAATTCCAAGTCAATATAAAACTCTTGTCTCTACAGAAAATATAATTTTTTAATAAGTAAATAAGAATGACAGAAAATTCTGATTTTTAAACAGAGCTTTAAGAATGAGAATTCAATGCCAAAGGACAGCATAGTACTCAAAGAAACAATTTTCATCTATGGCAAAAATTTTTAAAAATATGAAAAAAACCTTCAGAACATCTATAATCCATTTTTATGGCAGGAAATCTATTTAGTGAGGGAAATTCTATTGCATGGAATCCTAAATCTATAAGTGACAGAACAATTTACCCTTCTAAAATAAGATAGATGTTTGTTCAGGGTGTGCCTTTCAAATTCACAAATTATTTTGCTTTCTATCCAGCTAGCTATTTCATGTTAATGCTATACATGAACTTCTGTTTTGTGATTCTGAGGTGGACTCCTACCCTACCACAAAGGATTTATTTTCATAAGAGCTTAAACATGTATGTGATTTTAAACATGGGTCAGTTCAAGCATGGTTTTTCCAAGGCACATCTGTCTCACATTTGTCTCATGCTTTTCTTTTAAAAAACATCATGAACTGTAATCTAATTAGATAAAATTGAACACAAATTTAAGACAGACAAATGTGCACAAATCTGGAGACTGTAGTCTCTAGAATAATATTTTACCAACTTTTAAACTGTTTCTTAGTTAGGCTGTGATGAGCAGGAAAAAGGTCTTCACAAGTTTTGTTTTGTAAGGGCATTACATTTTAAATGTTCATTTATTTCAAATGATAGATCCAAGAATGATCAAATCCCTTCTAAGTTACATTTACAGGGGACACCAAAGAATATTGCATAATTCATGTGCCTAAAAACTCATATGAATTGTTAAATAAAATGCTGCTCAGATTCACACCAAATTATTCATGAATCATATGACAGAGAACTACCTTGTAAAATGTTGAATCAAAAATATGGAATATATGAGTAAATTTTAAAATGTCTTAATCTTCACATAGAAACAGCTAAAAGACAGAAAGGACAAAATGCATAAAACAATGAATTATGAATTATACATTTAACCCTCCTTGATAGTTAAAAGTGCCTCAGCCAGATGCTCTTTTCAGGTCTGTCAGTTTTCAGGGCACACTGTTGAACAATAATTAAACCATCCTGATGACTTTTCATCACTGAAAGTAAGAAAACTCAGCAAAGAAAACCTCTTGCACTCACACCCCATTCCAGAGAGACCTTGGCCACTTTGTTAAGCAATATAATTAGCAAAGTAATGTCTTTGTTGGATGTCATCACTGTGTTTTTACAAGCCACTTACCAGTGTGGTAAAGATATAGTGATAGTATTCTGTCATCATCCCCATAGCTAAAGCCTTGAAAAAAATAAACAAAAGATTAATGTTTCTGAGGCCATATAATACATTTTTATCACACTCACATGGCAAATGAAACACTGCAAAAGAACACTACTAAGATGAGACTATTGGGTTGGAATTATGCTAAAATTAGGTCAAGCAAGTCATTTCTTAGCAGTTAGAGAAGATTACTGACTATTAAAGGAATTTATGAACCAGATCTTCTGATAGAAAGAATATTATTAGACTGTTTAGTGCAGTAAATGTGAAAGAGGCTTGTATTTTTACATACTAATGGATACATTAAGTTACAACACATAATTTGAGTCGACAATATTTTCATTCATTATTGAACCTTTTCTTTAAAATGAATCACCTAATAGGATTTTTTTTCTATTTTGATGAATGCATTTGAAAGGACCCAAGCTTATATTATACATGTGAACATTTTTCCAACCATGGAAGAAAACTCTCTCAAGTCAAATTCTTAACAGCAAGAGAGATATTACGTAAATAAAAATGAACAAATCTTCATAGAATCATTTATGAATTCAGGTATCTCTCAAGTACCTTCATCACTCTTTCCATCTATGTAATACGAAGTAGTTTTTGATAAATTGTGCATTTTAAGAGTTCATGCTTTTCTTTCAACTGCATAAAAAATATTTGTAGATTAAAAACTATGTTTTGTATGTTTATTCACTAAGGGCATTTTCCCCAGAAAAGTATTTGTCTTCATGTTCTTCACAAAAGTTGTCTTAGTATTTTCTTCCTGCCCAGGAACTATCAAAAGAATTCTTTGCCAAGTTGCTACCAGATGGACTCCTTAAAGACACTGAAGGCCACAATTATACTACTGTGACAATGCCAGAATTTGTATTAAAAAGAATTGTCAGCATTCTGAAGGCTGTGGGAGCCTTTTATCTATAACATTGTCTGAAAAACTTATGAAATTAATAGTCTATATGATCTTTAAAAAAAAAAATTGAAAACTAATGCAAACATCAGTTTTAAATCAGATTTTATAATATTTTAAACAAGATTTTGAAAAAACACCACTTTTCCAAAGAACGCCTATACTAATGTGTTTACAACTCCTCAACAGTACTTAGAACTAGAGTATAGAGTTCCAGTAGAAATTAAATTCTCAAACACAGGAAAACCACATTCCCATAAGAAATATTATAACTTCATTAGGAACTCTAATCTAAAAACATTCTTAGCTTTTATCAGAACTTGTTTTTCACAAAACCAATTTGTCTTCCTCTATATGTGTATCACATTTGCAGTCACCTATATCAAAACTGCTTCTAATCAAGTCTTTCATGCTCCAAAGGATCCCTACACAAGTTCCTTCTGCTGCTGTGCAATGATTCTGCCTCTTTTCCAGGGCTTCCTGCTTTCACCTTCTCATTTCTCTAAAGATCTCACTTCTTTTTCCTCTTCAAACATTGTAATTTCTCAGTTCTCATTATTACAGTGCTTCCCTAACCTTTTAAATTATGTATGGTTTCCCATATTGCCTGGTGATGTAGATAACAATGAGATTAGCCTCAATTTAAGTATGTTTGTCTGATTGATGGGGTTTTTTGTTTTACTTTTCACTACATATTTTTGGCCAGCAAAATGTAGTTGCTGTTTCACCAGGTTCTCAAGGTACTTTGCTTTCTTTATTTTCAACTTATGTTGTCTTACGTTTCCACCAGCTCCACTGTTAATCTTTCCAATTATCCTCTCAAATGAAACTCGTCACGTGTCCCAAGACTCATCCCTCCATTAACAGGGAAAAAAATCTGATCAGTCAATAATTCAGAAATGGATATATAAATATTTTTTCAATAATCACTTATAAACACCATATTTGGAATATTAACATTAAATAATAAATACATTCTCAACACCCCTTGAGTCAATTTCAGCGGCAAGTGCTCACATTCAGCTTCAAAATTACAAATTCTGGGCATATTTAGAGCATTGCAGTATAGGACCCGAATGGAAAAGTAAAAATCTACAGAATCTGTACAACGATCTTAACGTTGATGAAAGACTTTTTCTCTATCTTCCCTCTATAATCTGTAGGATAACCAGTGTGCTTTGATGAAACAGTTCACTATTTGATTTAAAGAGGCTTAATGCTCACTCTTGGGTCCTGGGACATGATTGAAGACACAATGGTTTTAATTTTGTTCCCATTTCCCTCTAGTCATCCATTTTTCACAGTGCTGTATACGGTGAAATAAAAGAGATTTTTCACCTAAAAATTTCTATGTAGTGTATAACTAATGTATCTCAATGGAGTTATTGTTAGTATTGCAGCTTAATATTGTCATCAACGCATTTTCCATTTGCATTGTTTAGATTTTACATATTTAGAATAATGAAATGTACATTCAATGATTTGGTCTAAACAGCTAGAATAACTAGGCTGGCTTATGTTTAGAGAAAAAACACTAGCAGAGGTTTAAAATTACTAGGAGCTAATAAAAGTTTTCAATCAATGAACAATAAAGAAAAGAAATTATATTATACATGTAGACTTACTAGCAATTTTAATTATACCCACAATAATACCTGTAAGTATCTCTAATGAGACACATATTTCCAACTCTTAAATACGTTTTGTTTTCAATTTAGACCCTACAGTTTTCTAGCAAACATAGAATAAACTTGAATTAAAGTCACTAAAAGCTATGCATTAGGAGTGTAGAATAGTGTTTCAGTTTGGGTAATCCTCCTATCCTCTTTATTGGAAGTCATAGCTTAACTAAAAAATTATGGGGAAGATTGTCTCTGAGCCAGTTAAATATTTGGAATTTTGCTGTATCTCACTTACTCATTTCATCTGTACACATTATTTTCAAAGCATCAACCCAAATGTACTTGGGTGTTTTGCTGTTCCATTATTAGTGCAAAAAGAATAATGGCTATAAAATATCAATTCTGTCCTCTCAATGGAAGACATTAAAGTGGTCTTTTGGTAACATATTGTTCAGATATCATGCTCTGATTAGGAATACACATCCTAGAGGCCTCAAATACAAACAAACATATAAATGCATACATACCTAGACACATAAAGATTTGATGTATAAAATAATGTTAACCAAGCATTTATAACCATGCGTTAAGCATCAATTCTCCAAAGTACCGGTTCTTCATAGTTGAAAGATTAATATGTCTTCATGCTCCTTCTGAACATAAATTATTTAAACTCTTTCATTATAAAAGCATAATTAAAGCACCTACCTTTTGTGTCACCAATAAAATTGTCTCTGAAATCCTTGGCTGGTTTTCAGTAAGGCCTGAGTAAAACTGACATACAGTTTCCCTGCTTGTTAAGTACCATTAGGTCTGGACAATACTTTTATTTATTAGGGCTGAAAAAGATTAAGACATCTAAAGCAGAATGAGGATTACCTGTTTCAAGATGCCTGCTGCCATTTCATGGCTGCAGTCAAAGATTACATGGAATTCTTTGCCTCTTTTCATCTCCTTTAGCAATGGCTTTGCATCTTTTGTGTCAGCCGGTAACTGACGGATTTTTAGTCTTAGGTTGTATCGTGATGGAGCCTTGATGAGCTCTTGTAATCGAATGAGACCTTAAAGAAAACAGGAGTCAGGAAAATTATCAAAACAAGAACCTGAACTACTAGCAGGAGAATATACTATAAGCATTCAGTTTCCAGATTTTTTTCCCTTTCTCATTTGGTTATAACTGATACACAAAAATGTTGTTAAAAAGAAAAATTGAGAAGTATCTGTACTCCCCACACTTTAGTACAAGTCTCTTTTCCCTTAATATTAATGGAGAGTAAGGAGCCTCATATAGGATTACCTTCAGACAGACAAATCTTTCTCTAGCCTTATTGTACAACTGTGACTTTCCTCTTCGAAGAACATATTAGTCTAATTCAATTAAAGCCATACCCCAGACTAATAGTTTTTAATCAGACTAGACAGTCTCCCACATAATAAATCAGGTTTACATACAAAGTTGTGAATCACTTCAGCACTGTATAATGCTCTCACATGAATCTGTTCTCATATTTCTATACTGAATCACTTTTCAAAAACAGAGAGAAACAGAAGTAGCTTTACACTACTCTGTCAGTTTTGGAATTAAAACCACTCCAGAACAAAACTTACTGTGTTTTTGGAAGTGACTTTGAAATTAATTTGATTGTATGAAATATTACAGTGATTTATGATGTTCAAGTCTTCTGTACAAGTACTGAATATTTTTAATATACCAAATGTTAAAGGGAAGACTAACTGTTCTTTCTTGACTGTAAACTGCTCTTTCAAAGCATCCTTTACTCAAAACAGCAGAGTCCCTAATGTGCGTGTTCTAAACATATTTTCAGGTGTTACACCAATCACCTTTGTTACACCTTTGGAGATGGGATGGATAGTAAAGCTGCCAAGAAAATTTGAAATGGGATAGAAAGAAAAGGAAAAGAGATGTTGCTTTTTTCTGCAGCAAGTTTAGATTACAAAATTTTGGTAAACAAATGTAAGAAAATACAAATTGACAGGTCCCTTTATCTATCCACATTGTTTGCACGAATACAATACAGTTTTGGTCTTTTACTGTGGGTCCAAGATTTGTTACAGAATAGCAAGAAGTGTTTTCTTGCCTACAGGAATTTTTGAAGTAAACGTTTTCCAATACCCTAGTGAATTAAGCATATAGTTTAATTAGTTTGAGAACCACAGAATAATCTGAGTTGTAAGGAACCCACAAGGACCATCGATTGCAGCTCTTAACTGAATGGCCCACACAGGAGTTGAACCCACAGCCTTGGTGCTATTAGCTCTGTGCTCTAACCGCAATAACCTCAGCAAACAGCAGCGGGTGAAACCCAAGGATTTCCAAACTTCCAAACTTTGTTCTGTTCCAGAGAATTACCCAAGAACATAAGTCCTTAAAGGTCCTAATTGGGCTGTTCAAGAATTTAAAAAAAAAAAAAATTGTAATCTTCATAAATCTTATCATTATTGGACTACCTCAGAGAAAAAAAAAAGATCACACCAAAATTTGAAATAGGAGATTTACAGATGCAGGAACTAGAGTAATTAAAGTTGACAAGGAGAATGCTATGATAGTGTCTGCCTTCTGGGTTACCTGAGTATCTGATAGAGAAGTGATAAGAAGTGATGAAGAATAAACAAAGTACCACATTGGAAGGCAGTACAAAAGGTAGAAAGCTACCAAGGAAACCTGAGCGTGAGAATGTGGGGAAGAAAACCTGCAAGTGTACATTTCTTCAATGCACTGACTGAACCTCAGTGCTGGGCCAGTACAGATGTGCAGGCAAGCACAGGAAGAAGTATTCATGCTTTCAATAACTGTCAATTACAAATAGTAACCAGTGAGATTTCTCAAAATATATTTTAAGATAAATTAAGTCTGAGACACAAGCAAATTCCAGGGTTTTCAAAGATATGTTTTTTTTTCTCCTGTCCTCATCAATGTGAAATAAAAATAAACTTTAAACTCTGAATGTGTAATATTTTTCATAGCTTCTACATGCAGCACAATATTTAATTTTAGTAATAGTTAGAGATTACATCCATTTTTAAGATTTTAACATATATATGTCATCATGTTTCCTGGGAAACTGAGATCAGAGGGAACTGATTCCAGTGCTGGATCACACTTCAAAAGCTGGCTCTTTCAAATAATAATTAAAGGCTAGAGGTTTCCTTCTACACTGTATCTACCATTTGGGATGTAGCATTTTTGGTTTTAAAAGTGTGCAAAGAATGAATTAGCTTTACTGAAAAGTAAAATCCACCAAAACAATTTCCTGAAGAAGAACAGAATAATTTCTCTAAAAATAAACAAACAAACAAAAACATCACCATGCACAAACAAAATCTTTTCTAGATTAAATATTGAACAGTGGGTCATTATTCGCAACCAAATTAAAAATTAAGCACTGGAAAGATATAAACCAAAAGAACAAGGTCCTGCATGAAAACTGCAGCCCTTGGGTTCATCTAGAGACAACAAGTGCTTCCCAACTCCTGGCTACCACTGATCTTCTCTTCTCCTGAACACCCTAATGTCCTGGCTTCTGCTGGAGTAGTTTTTGCAGTAGCAATGGCCAAAAACGTTCCAGGGGATCAGAACATTAACCAGTTGAGGACTAACCAGGCAACACATGTAGGATATAAATAAATTGTGCCCCCTATCTTTATGGTAACAAACTGTTTGGAGTTCAGTTTTCCACAGCTATCAGATACCAAATTTTAAAGGCTTTTAAGAGTAAAACTAATTTCTTAAAGTAACAAAAAATGAGCTCTACCTTATTTAGTCTCCTCAACATTTAGTCCTGAATATATCAAGTGTAATCAGAAAAATTCTTGTTTGTTATCATTTTTAGATGTTACCAAAATTTCTTCTATTTTTTTCACTTTCTCCATCTGGATGATTGAGATTCCTAAGACTCAAAGAAGATTGCTTGTTTCTGCTGTGTGCAGTTTGTCTGTGGGACTCAATTTCTACCCTCCTATCCTTTGTGCACATTGTTCATTTCAAGTCAAACAAACATATTTACACCTTGACTAAAATTCTTGAGCTACTGCTAATAACAAAGTTTCATTGCTGTTGTCTGACATCAGAGGAAATGTCGTATCAAGCTGGTTATGCAGGATAAAAGTAACAAGCTGTCATGTATACAGAAAAATTTTCTGAATCAGTAAGGGACAGTTTCAAAAGGACACATACATAGCTTATCTGAAGAAGAAGGGAGGAATGAAAGGAGGAATATAATTCAAGAACTACAAGGACTATGAAGCAAAAAACAAAACAAGTCTTTTCTTCACCATGATTTTGAGGATATCTAGAATATTTTTAATTGAACACTTGTGAGGAATAATTTTAAAATAATTGATTTAAAATATAATATGAATTGCAGTCCTCAGATTAAAAGGTCTCCTCTTATTTTACTAGGATTTATGAGATCCATATGTCACGAACAAAGACCAAAATAAACCCAAAAAATGCAAATAAAGAAACAAAATATACCACAAGGAAAACAAAACAAAACCAAATAAAAAACCCCAAAGCAAACATTTGTGTGTATAAGCTCCTAAAAAAAAAAAAAATCTATTTTACAACAGTATAGAAATAATAGCTGCATTTTGGGAATGTACTTCCTGCATTTTCTTTCACCAGGGACACCTTTTTCCTGTCCCTTCAAACTCTCAATTCCTTCTTTTAGCAGCCACTGTGATAGAGCCCTACCTCTGAATGGCTGGGAAGAGGGCGGTGTGAGTAACTCCTTTCAGAAGCTGCCATCAATTCATCGTTAAGGAGAATCCTGAAGGAGCAGCTTGTGAGCCCTCCAGCTGGCACCTTCCTCCAAAGAGATCAATCACATCACCTCCTCGACATGTTCAACTTCAACCAGTCCAGGAAGCCAGAACCCCAAGTTTGTTTTAAAACCTGTCTCCAGCTCAGCACTCTTGCAGGCCATTGCTGCGCCACCTGGCCTGCTCACCAAACTATTCATCATTTCTATTAATGCTGCCTTTGTGCTGCACAGGAAGAATGCAAGCAAATGCACTTTGCAATAGGCTGAACACATCAACCTTTTTCTGTAAGAAAACACTAATGCTCTTTTAAAGGCTACTCTTTATCTTAACCATGTCAAAAATTTCAAAACTAATAATACACTGCTTTGCAGAACCACCAGAAAGCAGTCTTTCTATTTTTAACAAGTTGTTTCTTCTCACACCTCTCTGTACTCTTTTCCTTCCCTGACAGCCCCCTGCCCAGTTATTTTGGTTATGTCTCAGAAAAATCTCATTGTGTACTGGGCTTTGAAAGGGGTATGGGTAGAAGGGAGGTGAATGCTGGTTTATCAGCACTGATAGAATATTTCATATCAATTGGAACAGTTAATTGTTGCAAAATTACTTGCAGAGATTACCCATGAACTCTAAAGTTTAGTTTTATCATCTTCAACTAAAAAAAAAATAAATCACTAGTGAAAGGATTAAAAAGGAATTGCACTAGCTGGTAGGGTTTTTCTAACAGTGGGCTGTTCTGTATTCCTTGTGCTGTGGTATCTAATACAGCAACACCATTAAGAAAAGCACAGAGGAAACAGAGACAAAGGAAAAAGACAGCCTGATGAACCTTTCATATTTATTCATATTCAGATTTTGTACTACATTACGATCATTTCACTCAATTTCAGCAGTGTAAAGCAAACTTAAAATGATCACCAGTTATACTTAACCCCATTTAAAGACAGCAGCAATGGTTTCTTTAACGGAAAGAGTTCTAAGATATGTAGCCCAGAAAAAACAATTGTCTTTTCATAATTAATGCAGCTTCTTACTGGTAGCTTTAGAGTCCAACATTTTAGCAGGATTTTTCAATCTTGTAGTTAAAGGATTGGAGAGCAATCCAAATAGTATAGGTGTATGCATGTATATATTTTACAAATATTAATGCATTAGAGTCTGATGCCACTTGCAATATTTAAAATGTGCTATGATTAGTGGCAGGGACATGAAGAGGAGATCAAGGATATCTAGCATTATGTTGACTTATTTTGCTGTTAAATGTGACTTCTACAAGGGA